GATAAAGAGGAGCCTGGGTGCCACGCTTGTAAAAATCTACACCAGTGAGGGTGACCCACTGTTGCTGTCACCACTGCAGAAATGTGCTACCCACCACATCACTGTGCTCACATCCACTGTTTGGATGCAGATAAGTTTGAGAACCCATGTACTAAGGTATTCAATTGGCTGATGTCATCAAAAGAATTCTCTCAATTATTTTTCAAGGGTCTTGGGACTCTGGAGAGGTCCCAGTCAGCTGGCAAATGATCCAATTTTCAAGAAGGTCAAGAAAAAAAATCCTGGTAATTACAGGCCTCCCAGTCTCACTTCAGTGCCTGGAAATATTAGGGAGAAAATTATTCTGGGAATTACAGAAAAACACTTGAAGACAATGAGGTCATTGGTCACAACCAGCATGGATTCATGAGGGGAAGGTCCTGTTTCACTAACTTAATTTTGTTTTATGACAAGATCACCCATCTAGCTGACCAAAGGAAGCCAGTTGATGTTATCTTTCTGGATTCAGAAAGAAAAAAAATGCCTGGCACACAGCTGGACAAAAAATGTGATGGGTGAGCAAGTGGCTGACAGCTTGAGCCCGAAGATCTATAGTTAGTGGGGTTACATCAGGCTTGCAGCCAGTCACTAGCAGGGTTCCCCAAGGCACCTTTTTAGGGCCAGTTCTCTTTAATGTTTTCATAAACTGGACTGGAAAGTGTTTTGGGCAAGTTAGCTGACAATACTAAATTGTAAGGAACTGTTGACTCTGTCAAGGGTGGAGAGGGCTTGCAGAGAGATCTAGACAAATTACAGAGCTGGGCATTCACCATCTACATGAGCAACAAGAGCAAGGACCAAACTCTGCACTTGGGAATGGGCAACCCGGGCTATACATACACACTGGGGGATGAGATGCTGGAGAATAGCTCCTTGCTGAAAGGGAGCTGGGAGTTCTGTTCAACAGCAAGTTTAACACGAGTAACAGTGTGCCAGGCAGCCAGGAAAGCCAACAGTATCCTGGGGTGCATCAAACATGGCACTACTGGTTGACTGAGACGAATGATTTTGAGCTCCATGCTGGGTGCATTTTTGGGCTCCATGTCAGACACCATTATGTCAGACTGCCCCTCTGCTGCCATCTGTCACATGGCACCAAAATGTAACTGAACGTTTGTGAGAAGGTTCAATCTCTACTGCCATACCACCAGCATCCACCTCTGACATCGTGGACCAACACAATAAAATAGGAGGCATTGCTTTTGTAGCAGCTTTCATATTTAATGTGTTTTTTAATATGTTCCTTGGACACCTTTCTCAGGGGAAATGTTCCAATTTTCCCCTTCAAAGATCTCCTGGAAACAACCAAACCTACAATTATGGTAGCTGAAGAACATGATCTGTTTTGATTACGCATTCTTACAAAATGTGAGAATGGCAGGGGTTTGGATCTTACAGCCCGTGGTGCTCCATCTCCCTGAGCAGATCCAGGGGCCGAGCGGCACTCCATCCAATGCAGCTACAGGCCTTCAGGCACGCACAGGAGATATCCTAACCCCCGATCAACCTTTGTCTCTGCCTCTCCTACTAGGAAAGGGGATTAACTGGTAGGATAATCAGACATTGTTTACTCTGCTATAGCTCATGTAGCAAAAGATTAAGGCCAAGATGTTAGTAAGTGGGATCCTAAAGTTAGTAAGCCCATACTGAAGTACTTAAATAAATGCCCCATTCTATTTATTTTTAAGTCGCTGACCTCCCCATTGCTCCTGGAGGCTTGGTTGTTGCTCTCTGAATGCAGATGCTCTGATAATCTGACCTGTATATCTTGAGCCAAGATTAGAAGAGTATTATTGGAATAAGAAATTCATCCTAAGGAAGAATTAAAAGTTTGGAAAGAGTTAAGAATAGACAATCACACTCCTCTGATGCCAACTGAGTCAAAACTCCAAGCAAAGTAGAGAAGGAACAGTGAAATGCTAAGTGCAGATGCTTCTCCTATTTGCATTTTAATAATTCAAGAGCTGTATTTATTTATTCATACTAATTGACCGATGAAGTTATGCTGTGGAATAGCTGAGGAGAAACTAATTGCTTTCTCATTTTATTTTAATAGTATATTAAAACTCAGGCGAGACTGGAGACCTCTTCTCGACTTGTCCTGATGTTATCTGCCCTGAGACTCTGGCAGCTGTCCAGAGACTTGTCTGCACTGATATTTAGGACTAACCTTAGGGGTTAGATTAGGTGATAGTGCCTTTGGCTGTAATGGACCACAAATACTAAGCTTGTTTCTGTTTTATATCATTTTTTTCCTCCTTTCCATTTATCTTTTCTTCATTTATGTTCTGTTATAATTTGCTCAGACTGCGCAAAGAAGCCTTAAAGCAGGTGCAGATGAATTCTGAAAAACCCGAACAAGACCCTTTCATACCTTCGGAGTAATTGGGATTTAACTGCAGTAAATCCTGACTATATAATGCAGGCATTCTCAAGCATTTCTACAACCTCATAATAAACACTCCCACAAGCAAAACGAGACAAAAAAAAAAAAAAAAAGAGAAGCACAATACTTGTTCAGCTGTACAGTGCTCTCCATCAACTCCTCATCCTCCAGCATTTTCCCTACACAGTTCCCATGATCCCCTGATAGCTAGGTTTTTTCCTCCAAGGAAAAGACTGGGCAATTTAGGGACATGGTTTAGTGGGTATGGTGATGGTGAGTTGATGGTTGGACTAGATGATCTCAGTGGTATTTTCCAATCTTAATGATTCTTTGATTCTCTGACTCTACAATTCTATGATTCTATGACTGGGGACTCCACAGCACACCCCTCCCTTTCTCTCACCCATTCCAGCCCAATTCCCACACACAGGTTCCTCATTATCCAGGGGGCCACCAGTATGGCTAACAACAGAGCTCTTCTGTTCTCTGCCCTGCTGCCAGGGCACAGAGTAGTGGGCGAATGGGCAGCTGCACTGTGCCTTGGTGCTTGGCAGGGTCATGGGAAAATTTGAAAATCTGACAGCATCCCAGCCCCTTGCCTCACATTTCTTTGTGGTCACTGTGTTACAGATACACTATCCCATGACAGTGAGCCTAAGATTCGCACCCCTTACCAGCACAGCAAGTGGGCAGCACCATCAGCAGCGTGTGGTAGGGTGAATGAATCCTCATGTATGCCAGGCTCAGCTTATAACCTGGCTTATACTATACAGCTAGGCAACAAGCCAGTGCACAAGAACCTGGCGGCATACGCGCCCTTTGCATAGATACAAATAAGCTCAGCAGGTAAAAGGCAACAGGAAGGTAGGTCCTCTGAGTGCAGAGTCTTTCATCTTCCAGATAAAGGACAGACGTAAAAGCAGCCCACAATCCAAGTTGTGCACATTCTTCCTTTGAAGCTCTACCTATCTCCCAGCCCAAACTTTGCCATTTCATGACCTCATTACCTTCCAAGGTCTACTCCTTCAGCATTTAGTCCCTCTGTGGAGTGGCAAGCACTTTCCCTCCCTGCTCAGGAATCTTAATGAACCTTTTTTTTTTAGTATCTCAGACATACCAATATATTCAGTTAGGTTTGTTTGAGTGCCATCAAAGTTCTCTTTAGTAGCAGCGTTTTTTTTTATAGCTGATCATACACAAAACATAAATGCATATAACTTGAGCATCCATGTCATACATGCAGCATAACATGCAGAGCTACATGGGTACCATGTTATTTCTCGAGAAAGATGGCACTCACTATTTTGAACTATGTTAATCCTACATTTACAAAAACTTGGCAAGGACTTTCAAACCCTCTATATGTATAAGCATGATGCCGAAGTGTCTTCCGATCATCGTTCCAGCCCTGATACTTAACAGCTGGGCCAAAAATGCTTCCCTGGCCCTTCATCACTGATTTCGCCAAGACCAACTGGTTCACATCAATCAAAAAGGCCACTTCAGTAGGAACTATGTCTCATAATTTAAAGAACTGCAGACCTATTTCTTTCTGAGGTGTAAAAAGGACTTGCAAATACTTGGGGAAGGCTGGATGCACAGGGACTTAGCACGGTCCTGGCTCCAAATTTGAGCTTGTCACCCAGCTGCAGCTTAGAGCAGGCAGAACCAGCATAGGACAGCCAGTACTTCTTTTGTAAGATCACCTTTACACGTATCTTAACACTTTGCTTTTACACACATGTTCTTGCTTTTCTCCCTCAGCCCCTGAGAACCTTAGCAACCCTCTGCAGGTTGGGGGAAGAGAGCAGCCTGTGCCTCTGGAGCTCATGATTTCACCTGTCTGGTATCACTGATAGGATGGAGAGCCTGGAAACTAATCCAGGCAGTAAAGGAATAGTCCCAAGTCTCTCCTGATGGAATGTTAAGAGTTACCAAATGCTAATATTGGAACTATATCTATGCCTAACATTAATCTGAATGTTGAATTCATCTTTAATGGCAATTAGATAGATCTTGGGGAATTCCTTTTAAAACCAAAATTAGGGGGTTGTAAAATGGAATTCTGGGGGGAGAAAATAATTCTAGAATAAAATGAAGTAGAACTGACTACTTTGGTTTTGTTGACTGTATTATTAGAGGATTAATATATATTAAAAAATAAAAAAGAAAGTCAGAATTCATCATTTTGTGATTTGTTGACATCAGGCATCTTCAAACAGCTTTTCCAGCATCTCATTCCCAAGTAATGAAATTTCAAGGACTGACTGGTACCGTAATGACATCCTTGGACTGTGATAAACAGCAAAATTGCTCCTCAAGAGCACAATTCTACAGAGTACCTAACGTCTCAGGTCATCACAAAAGGCTGAAATCCCTGTGGGTGAAACTGTGATGCCACCTGGATCTAAGCAATAGCTTCACCAGGACTGTTTTGGATTTTTCTCTTCATGGTGAATGTTGAAAGCCAAGGTGACACACAATTCTGTGAGGAAATACGACAAAAATATATGTGAGGTGGCTAATTATGTTTATTCAGGAAAATAGATATTACTAATTTAAGAAAACAGTCAGATATGAGTCAAATGCTGAAGGCATCTTCCAGCAGTCTCACCACATCCTCACCCATGCACTGGTGGTCTCTCCAGAGCAGAAGATTCCAATTTTGTTGCCAAAAACCTGATGAGTAAGAGTTTGACATCACTCATTTTACAGAAAGGACAGAATTACCCTGTGCTTGACCACACGCAGGCCCACAGCTCTAAGTCTAGAATGGAAGTTCTTCCCTACATCTTCAATATTTAGACTTCGTGGGAAGCTTTCCACAATATCCAGAGATTGAGGAACCTGAGGGTTGTGTTTTGAGTCATGATTTAACCACAGTGAAATACTCACAGGGCATATGCATTTGCAGAAGTAATGGTCCGTGAGAAGACATCTGTGTAAATCTCTAAAAGGTGAGGTAAGTCCTCTAGCATCCGACGCCCTGACACGGAACTATGCAAAACCGAAGTGAGCAGCGCTGTGGGCAGGAAGGCCACATGCTGATAGCTCCAGAACAAGAGTGAAGGTCACATTTTGCTGTTAGCAAGCATTACCTAGAAAAACAATGCAGTACACCTGCCCTCTGAAAAGAAATTCCTCATTTACTTGCCTGACACAAGTTTTAACACATTTGTAAACATGAAGAAGTTGAATTAACTGGCTCTAGAGAGCATTACAATAACTCCATTACCTGCAAAATTACTGAATAATGCAAATATCTTTGAGAGAATATTTCAGCTCTCATGCCAACATTGGCTCAAGAACAATTTCAGACTGATAAATGCATTTTTCTTACTTGTGCAGAGCACACGAACACAATGGATCCTACCTGGGAGCGTGGGGCACTCAACACATCTCAGCAAGGAAGGCATTAGGGTTGTGTGAAGGCCTTCCTAACTCTGGGCTTGCTCCTTCTTGGTCCTGTCTCTACCATGGCCAATGGCTAATGCCATCACCCTCACAGGGCCACTCATAGTGGTGTCCAGTCCCAGTACTGGAGATGTTCAGGATTCCCCTCACTGGATGGGAGGAAACAGCCCCAATGGGCTGTGAAACTAGGGCCCTAATATGCTAAAGTGAAGGTTTTTTCCACGTAATCTTTACCATCTGTTGTCTTGCACTGATGTTAGTATTAATAATTTATAGGTCTTCTCTTAAGGCTGAGGAAGAAGCAGAATGCTAAGCTGTAACACAGAGGCGGCATCAACTTTTTTAATGAGATTGATGTTGCTCCGCACAATAGCCTCACCCAGGGAATATATAGCGCTGTTCAGCTTTCTGTTGCTTTGCTTTTATAAATCTTTTCCTGAAAACTGCGGCGCGAGGTATTTATTTTAAGTCTAGCTCCTCCGTTGCTTCTCGTCTACTAAAATAAGGTATGCGGCCTATCTGGTACATCAGCAAAGTGCACTCAAAGGTCACTGGTGAAGCATAAGCTAACAATATAAGAAGCATTATAGGATGCAGTCACTGCCAGGCAAAAGGCAGGGCTCTGCTCCTGCCATGCCAGTGACTGTCGGGCTGAAGTGGCATAGCTGTGCTACCAGTTTAAGCCAGCAGAATCTCCTTGCTATATTTAACCTTGATTTCCTCAGAGACTAAATATGCAAATCGTGAAATGTGACTCGCAGCAAACACGGCTTCCATAAGAGAGAGCTAAGTTATAGTTCCAAACAATCAAATCGGCCTTTCCTACTTGCAGGGCTTCGCTTTAATCCCTTACTAACGGGATTATTGGCAGGCTTAGGGTTTGTGCCATCCGGCTCCCCTTGCACACACACCAACGGAGCTGCTCTCACAGGGGGACAGGTGGATTAATGGCCTCAGTCACAAAGTGTGGCGATAAGGCACAGAACCAGCCGAAGGGAGGGATTCCTGGGCAAAAAGGGACAGCTGGGAGATCGCTATCACAACAGTGCAGCGCCCAAAACCCGCAGACAGAGCGATGCAACGCGTGGGAGACCCTTCTGCTGCTAAATTGAAAAACAAAACAAAACCCCTGAAAGATAAACAAGTACGGCACAGGAATACGCCTTTCCATTAATGAATACTTACCAGAGGATAAACAAGTAAAGGAATAAAGAACCGGGGAAGCTCAGAAATGTGGAGGCATTTGCTGAAACACAACTCCCCTAAGAAATGCAAAACTCTGACAGACTGTTATACAACCTTTGATTTCTTTTAATAACAGTTGAAGGTCAGATGCCAGCGCTCTTCCTGGAAATCCTAAAAAGACTGGGTGGCTCCCCAAGTTAGCAGAGCCGTGCCAGCGGCACATTGTGCAACGCGGAGCCATTGAGCGCCGCGGATCGCGTTTCCCCCAGCAGCTGACTCAGGCACATTGCAGCGGGAAGGCCGCGCTGGCCCAGCGGCACGTAGGGCGGCCGGTGCTGGGGTCAGGCAGAACCCCCGCCCGCCGCCGGGTTACCCGAGTTCGCGCCCGGCTATTGACATTCAACGACGGTGCTTACTCATTACCGGATCAGCAGGGGACCGTCTGGCTCCGGGAGGTTAACCCTTCCCGTGCCCCACGCTGGGTGCTTTTAAAGAAATAGGAGCTCCTGCTGAACGGCAGGGCGAGGGTGGTGGGGAAGAGCTTACTTGGAACGGGGAGGGGGCCAAGCGGGTGGCCCCCGAGGAGCCATCAGACTACAAGGGCAAGAGAAGGGACGCGGGCAGCTGGCCTCCACCTGGCCGGTTATCCACTCCCGTGTTAAGCAAGCAGGGGCAGGGGGTGCTGGCTGTAAAGGAAAGGAAGCATCCCACGGTGCAGCATCCTCCCAGTTAGGATGCCTGCATGTGAGGCAAGGACCGCTGCCACCTCTCACTGCAGATGTTCGCAGGGTCACCGCAAGTCTCATAATGGTGTTTTCCATAATGACTCTGACCCTATTTATCTGAAAACTTTTAACTTCCAGTGCTTCTGGCTTTGCCTTTCATTGCCCAGGATGAGAGGTAACAGCATCAAGTTGTGCCAAGGAAGTTTCAGATTAGATGTTAGGAGAAACTTCTCTTTTTAGAGTGTTCAGGCAGTGGCACAGGTTACCCAGGGAGGTGGTGGAGTCACCACCCCTGGAGATGTTCAAGAAATGTGCAGATGTGGCACTGCGGGACTTGGTTAGGGGGCAATAGTGCTGGTAGGTGGACAGTTGGATTACATGCTCTTAATGATCATCTAGGTCTCTTCCAGCCTTAATGATTCTGATACTATGAAGACTCCAGAAAGGAATGTGGATGGTCAAAGATTGTTACCACTAGCTCATGATCCTCTTAGGACAGCCCTGTGGTTCAGTGGGAATGGCAGATTGATTTATGGATTCCAGTATTAGCAGTCCTCTAATAAATCACCACAACCCGCTAAGCTTATTTGTTTTATTTAGATCTTAAAAATAAAAATTGAAAATAGTTCTGTAATATGTGATAAAAGGAGCCCCTATTCTTTTTCCATCAAATCAAAGGCCCTTTTGTAAAAAGAGTCTGTATCATTCTGTCACTGAGAAGCACAGATGGTGAATAGCAGGTACACAAAATGCTCATACTACTCTTCACTTCACCTTCTATTGTAATTATATTGCATGCCAGGCTCCAAATGAAGTGCTGAATGTAGGTATCAGAATTCAAAGGAAATTAATTTTAAGAAATTTTAAATGTTAGTTCAATTTCACATTTTGAGAGTAATTTATACGTATCGCAAAATGTGCCAGGTGCTGGGAGGCTCATCAGGAGAGGAAAAGGTCTTATCATGGCTTATAATCACAAATGATTTTTTTGAAATAAATAATGAAATGTAAGTAAACAAGCATGGGAGTTTGCTTGCATCTGGCCTCAATTTGTCTTTATTAGTAATTTCTAATATTGAGAGCAAGGAAGATAAGATTTATAGCTCTTCTCAAAGACAGGCCAGTGTAAATTAGATGGATTGAGCCAGTTCCAAGAATAGAGGGGGAAAAGGCATGATCTTTGAAAGTGGTGAATGAAGTGTATTAGAAGGAGATACAGAAAGACACTAAGTTGTGCAAGTCCTTGAAGGTGAGGGAATAGACTTGAATATAACAGGAAAGCCAGTGAAAGAAACTGAAGAATGGGATATGATCCAAGGGAAAGGTAAGATAGAAATGGGCTTAAGTAAAATATCAGGAGCAAAAAAAGAATATATGGCTTATTTATAGATGATAAACTTGCATGCTTAACAAGCATTGAGGAAGAGAAGGAACTTATGAAAGCTTGAGATTTAGTTTGTTGGCACGTGGCTTTCTTTTGCAGAGGGATATTCAGGAAGTTCAGCTGACAAAGTAAAGTAAGTTAGCAAGGCAAAGTGGAAACAAAGAAGTTAAACTGTTAAGTTTGTGAGAGATATTGGAAGCTGTGGAAGTGTGTCATAGCATGGGAATGGAGGAAAACAAGAAATGTGAGGTGTTTCTGAAAGCTGGAGAACAGGTGGTTTTCAGGAAGGGAGTGCAGTCACTCTAAAATGGAAGGGAGGAAGAGCTTGCTGGTGGATGCTGGTAGTGCCGGAAGCCATTTCAAAGGGCTAATGGGAACAGAATGCAGGCTGCACATGGGGAGAAAATTGGCTGAATAGGGCCAGAAGAATTAAGGGCTTTTTTTTTCACATGTTTAAGACATATGGAGGCAAAGAAAGGAAGCATATGGAGTGGCAGTGCAAAATGGGGCTGGGGTCAAAAGAGATGGTAGGGGAAACAATAACATGTTTCAGAAGCAGAGAAGAGTGGTTGAAGATGTCTCATTGTTTCTTCATGCTCCTCCATCTGCCAATATCCATCTGTTGTTTTTCTGTTGTACACTCAAATGTCAACTCCAGTAACTGTTTAATGTGAAATGGATAATCATGTCTCCCTCTCTCATTCATTTTTGGAAGACTACCGTGAAAAAAGAGAAATGCATGTTCCACACAGCACTGGAAGGGTGGGGAGAACCCATTTGTTCTCTGTAGCCTAGAGCTTGGTGACTAAAGGATGCTGTTCTGGGAAGCGAGAAAGGTCAGATGTGAATCCATAAACCTGAGAAGGGCCCTGAACTTGTGTTTCCTGAAGCCCATCAAAGTGCTTAACCACTGCCCCATTCTATAAAAGGCACTGATGTCATCATCAAATCCCAAAGGAAAGGTGTAACAGGAGAATATCCTCTGGGGAGAGCATTCACTACCTCTCCACAGCCAAGGACACTCAAGGTGAGGTATTGAAGACACCTGCTCTTGGTGGCTCTCTGCAGTTTCCGCTTTCCTTGCTGCCCTGACTACTTTGAACCAAAGCTTGAGGCATCATAGTTTGCTACATGGAAGTTGGTGGATTTGTCTGGAGAAGTAATGTCACTGGTGGCTCCCTTTCCCACACCATAGCTGTAGATAATGTTTTGCATTTCGGAGGTGGATGGTGAAGATGTGTGCTGATGGTGCAGTCTCTGCAGGCCCCTGCTAGCTGCTGGAACCTCACTGATGCTGCTAGGAAGGTAGAGGAGGGGAGCATGTGGGAGGACGTGGTGCCTAGCACAATGCAAGAACAAGTCTAAAGGCTGATCACCTCTTTCACATTTTGTGTGAGCAATGAGCTATCCCACTGCCACTACATCGGATTTTGCTCTGAGAGGCAGGTGCTTGCCCACTTTCACAGTCATCACTCTAGTACAGTAAGGTAAAAGATGTACACCTGCAACACCACTGGCTGTCAGTGACCTAAAAGGTGAATCCATGCCACCACTCATTTCCGTCCTGGCCAAACACAGTGATTGCCAGGCTGCTTTGTCGAGCTGTGGCACAGAGCTGAGCCAGACCCACCCAGGTCAGCAGCATCAGTCCATGCCTGTTACATCCTCAGCTATGTATCTGCACTTATGATTTTCTCTGTTATGCTTATGATATTAGAATTTGTCTCACTCTAGCCAAGACTCCTACTCTCCGTTCATGCACGAGCCTGTCATGCTATACAATTAGAGTGGAGTCAGGGCCTGATCTGTACTATAATTATAACTGAGTCAGTTACAACAGACTTGTCTCCTGACCTGGTTCCAAAATAGCACTACATTTTTTAAAGCAAAAGGGATTTTAGGTGTATTCTTCAACCATCGTAATGATTCACACATGTCTGGCATTTAAACCTGGTTAATTTCTGATAAAGCAACACTCTTATTAGCTTAAGCAGGAAATGGTCCAAACTCACTGTTCATTAGCATTCACTAAGTCAACTTCAAGCACCCTCTTTGAATGTCAGATATTTCCCGCTTGCATTCCTTCCCCACTTTGTATGTTTGCTGCTTCCTGGCATCCTTATCAGATGATAATGGATCAGTCTGGAGTGATGATGTCGCATTTAGATACTGAGTGGGACTAGTTTGGCTGGTCTGGGGTAATCAGGCCTTTTAACAGGGAAATGAATTTAAATAGGTCAATGAATCTTACAAGCCTGTGCATCAGGAATTATCAGCACTGCGGAACTTGCAGGCTAGGGGATAAATTCTCTTTCAAGCAAAAGTTCATTGATGCCACTAGAGCAGCAAATAACATTTCACTTATATTTAAACCATGCTTTGCCTTCATGGGTGGTTGGGAATCTTTTCAACTGGAATAAAGGTGCTTTTATTTTTGAAGTTGTGTACAAAATACTATTTGAAATTAGCTTGACAATCTTGTTAAAGCTAAGAAGGTGCTTACCTTATCTCCCTTTTCCTAAATTGCAACTGTAATACTTATCTCTTATTGCTCACCCTCTGCCTCCTCTGCTTTGAGCTGAATGAACCAAGGGACCTCAGCCATTCCTCATGAGTCTTCTCCTCCAGACCCTTCCCCATCTTTGCTGCCCTCCTTTGGATACTCTCTAATGCTTATTTTATTTTCTTTTCTGTATAGTGGAACACAAAACTGCAGTGTATTCGAGGTGTGGCTGCACCAGTGGAAACATTAAAGAGAACTGGCCCTAAAATGGAGCCCTGGGGAGCCCCGCTAGTGACTGACTGCAAGCCTGATGTAACCCCATTAACTATAGCTCTTTGGGCTCAAGCTGTCAGCCACTTGCTCACCCATCACATTATGTCTTTTTCCAACTGCGTGCCGGACATTTTGTCTGGAAGGATGCTGTGAAAAACAGTTTCAAAAGCTTTACTGAATCCAGAAAGATAACACCAACT